GGACCTAGGTAGTATATAGGCAAAAGCAAGGCTGCCCTCCTAGGCAAAGGTAAGGCTAACCTTTTAATAATAATACTCTCTTTATTTAGGCCTTTAGTAGTACCTCTTTTAATATATATTAAGATAAAGATAAAAATAACTTTATCTTTTATACTAAGTAGGCTATATAAGTAAGTATCTTGTAAAGTAAAGGTTAATTTATTTATATAGTAGGCCCTATAAAGCCTATAATCCCTTCTTTAATCCTATCTTTAGTCTTTCCTTTATTATAATCTTAATTCTTATCTTATCCTATAGCTAAAGTAGTAGGTACCTTTTATTTAGGTAAAATACTTAAGTAAAAGGTAAGTCTATTTATCTAATATATAGCTAGTATATTATCTTATATAGCCTCTTTTTTAACCTAATACTCTATAGGTACTTTATATTCTTATAGGTTATATTAATAGGATAGTATAGCTAAGTAAAGACTAGGCTAACCTCTAGGTAAAGGCTAAGTCTATTTATCTAATATATAGCTAATATATTATCTTATTTAGCCTCTCCTTTTACCTATTACTTTATAGATATTTCTTATTCCTATAGATTATATTAATAGGATAGTATAGCTAAGTAAAGGCTAGGCTAGTTTATAGTAGGCTAATAGAAGTTATATAAGATAAATAAGTAAATAGGTAGAATATTTCTATAAGTATATTAGATTATATAGATAGGCTTACTAGTAAGCTAGTTAGTAGCTAGTGCCTTAGTTACCTTTATACTAAAAAGGATATATACATAAAGCTAAATAAATAAGTAAATAAATAAATAAGTTAATAGGTAGACACCTCTAGGCAAAGGCTAAGTCTATTTATCTAATATATAGCTAGTATATTATCTTAAATAGCCTCTTTTTTTACCTATTACTCTATAGGTACTTTATATTCTTATAAGTTATATAAATAGGATAATATAGCTAGGTAAAGGCTAGGCTATTCTCTAGGCAATAGCTAGGTCTATTTATCTAATATATAGCTAGTATATTATCTTATTTAGCCTCCTTAATTATATTATAGCTAAGTAACTTTTACTTACTTTTTATACTACCTAACTATTTAATACTATAATATTATAGCCTATTATATTATAGAAGATCTTTTACTTAGTAATAGTAATATAATTTTAGGTCTATTTATCCTATATATAGCTAGTATATTATCTTATTTATTCTCTTTATTAATACTATTCTCTAGTGGTTTTTTATATTCTTATAAATTATATTAATAGGACAGTATAGCTAGGTAAAAGTAAAGCTAACCTACTAACTAGGCAAAAGTAAGGCTAACCTCCTAGGTAGGCAAAAGTAAGGCTAACCTTCTAACTAAGGTAGGCTATCTTTATCTAGGCTTTAGTAGTACCTTTTTAAGCTATATTAAGATAAAGATAAAAATAACTTTATTTTTTATACTAAGTAAGCTATAAAAGTAAGTATTTTATAAAGTAAATATTAATTTATCTATATAGTAGGCCTTACTAAGCCTATACTTTTTTTTTATTTTATTTTTAGTCTTTTCTTTAGTATAATCTTCTTTTTTATTTTATTCTATAGCTAAAGTAGTAAGTGCCTTTTATCTAGGTAATAGAGAGATAAAATCTATCCTCTAGTAGCACTATAATAAGGGGGAACTAGCTATTAACCTAAACACTAAAGCCTTGTTAATACTAATTACACTATTAAGATTAAGAAAATCTAGCCTTAAAGGTTAGTAAAAAAAAGGCCTTTTATAGGTGTCTTTAGTAATATATAAGTAAAAGTAAAGCTAACCTTTTTACTAGGTAAAAGTAAAGTAAAGCTAAACTTTATACTTTTTTTTCTAGTAATATATTTCTTCTTTTACACTATAACTTAACCTTAGTAGTTATATAAATTATATATTAATACTACTATAGAAATAATTACTTCCTTTTATTAGTATATCTTCTAGAGGTTCTATTAGTTAACTAAGGTAAGTTAAACACTAGCTTTTTTCTCCTTAATAATCTATTTTATTTTATTCTCTTTTATTAACCTTTTTACCTCTAAGTAACTTATCTTTAGTAAGGCCTTTCTTTATCTTTTTCTATTTATAGCCTACTTCTTTTACCCCTATAAAAAAGGCTAAAGTATATTAGACCTTATAGTAAGCTATATATTCTACCTTTTATATAATAATATTACTAATATATAGCTATAATAGTGTACTACTTACTTACTCTCTAGTCTTTTTAGATAGTAGTCCTTAGTTAACCTTTCTTTAATTTCTTTAATAACTTATAGTAGAACTACTACTTAGTCTCTAGGAGTATAAGCTACTATAATAATCTTTATTTAGTCTTACTATTAAGTAAAATCCTATATAGTTTATAGTATATATATATATAGTCTATCTATATATAAGTACTTACTTTATTTTACTTTATCTTAGTTACTTATATACTTAATAGCTTAATACCTATAAGAGAAAGTAGTACTATATAACCTTACTATCTAAATATCTAATAATATATAGTAAGTAGTATATTTATTTCTTTCTCTTTTTTAAAATTTATAAAAATAGATTACTAATTCTTATTCCTTAGGCAGTAGTATAAATAATCCTAATAACTGCTTTCCTTTTAATTAAGAGGACCTAGAATTCTTATAAAAGCTAGATAACTACAAAGGCCTTAAGAATAACCTCTACAAAGACTTATAGTCTACTAATAACTTACTTAATTATAAAGAGTATATTACTTACTAGGTGTTAAAGACACTAACTACCCTAGTTACTAGTAATTTATATATATATATAGTACCTAAGCCTTAAGATAACACTTAATAAAAAGCACTTATTTATAAGTAAATAGCTTAGGATAAAGAAAGCTTATAAGTAAGGACTATACTTCCTACTATACCTATTACCTTAATTAATTAAGTCTTTATAGATATACCTTTAAGTACCTTTATTATATACTAATCCCTTTACTAAGGTAAAACTAATAAAGAGCTCTTTATTAAGCTAGCAAAAGAGTAGACAGCTATTTAGTTACTACTAGAAGAGCACTATTAAGTTTATAGTAGTAATAGTAGTAATATTAAATTTAACTTAGACTAATTTACTATCTATATTAACGCTACTAACTAAAGAGAAGTACTATAAGTAATAACTATATTTATATAAGATATAGCTATCCTAGTATCTAAGAATATAGTTCTACTATAAAAGAATATATATAGATAGTATACTATTAGTAGAGAACAAGTAGCTTTTTATTAAAGGTATACCTTTTATAGAACCCTTAATTAGTAACTATAGCTCTTTAAAACTAACTATAGTATTTAAACTATAGATACACTTATACTTAAGCACTATAATTACTAAAAAACAAAACACTAATGTCTACTATAGGCTTAAAACCTTATTAACTAAGTATTAATAGTATACACTAGATCTATATAAGCTATAGACTTAGTAAAGTATATTATTAGTTATCTCTCTATAGCTTAAGATAAAAAATAATAAGTTATCTTCTAAGATTTTTAATCTACCTTCTATATAGGGGTAAATAAAAAGTATAAAAACTTAAAAGCTTTTTATTAATAGTAAAGGTAATATTAGAGGACTAATTTCTATAGTATAGTTACTACTATTCTAGAATTTATCTAGAAGGAGGCTTCTAGAGTTCTTAGACATAAGGTTAAATTAATATACTTATAAAAGCTCTAGAAGGAGATTAGTCTCTCTTTTAATATATACTTAATTATTATTTTATCCTATAGCTAAAGTAGTAAGTGCCTTCTATTAAGGTAAAACACTTTAGGTAAAGGCTAAGCCTATTTATTTAATATATAGCTAGTATATTATCTTATATAGCCTTTTTCTTTACTTATTACTCTATAGGTCCTTTATATTTATATAGGTTATATTAATAAGACAGTATAGCTAGGTAAAGGCTAGGCCTTCTAGGTAAAGGCTAGGTTTATTTATCTAATATATAGCTAGTATATTATCTTATTTAGCCTCTTTCTTTACCTATTACCCTATAGGTACTTTATATTCCTATAGATTATATTAATAAGATAGTATAGCTAAGCAAAGGCTAGGCTAACCTTTTAACTAGGATTTTATCTTAGCCTATAGTGTGTCCTATAACCTATATATTAAGAAGTGTTATATTAGTAATTATAGCTACTTTAGTATTTTTTATCTCTATATATATAACCTTAAGGCTAAAGATAGTAACCTATTGCCTAATTATATTTATTTCTTAGAGAAGGTCTAGTGTAAGTATAAGATCCCCTTGTAGATCTTATATCTTAGCCTTTACTACACTACTAGCACCTATTACTAGTAGAAGGACAAGTTTACCTAGATTATTATACCCTAAGTTATATAGCTAATGTTAACTAAGTAAATAATATAGACCTACCTAAGGCTCTTTTATTTACTAAATATAGTAACTATAGTATAGTTAGATAAGAACTACACTTAGATAAAAGTAAAGACAATAAAGACTAAAGGTATAGTTAGTTATTTTCTATTAGAGTATAGTTAGTAGAGTATACTAATAAAAAAACTATACAAAAGTAATATATATAGAAAGTGTAGATTAAGAAGAGTAAGTGACCTTATTATTAAAGTAAGTAATAACCTCTATCTTTATACTTTTTATTACTAAAATTCTAGGAATATATTTTAATGTAGTCTTAAAGAAAGGCATATAGACTACTCTAAGGTTATTACATTAGAAAAGGATAGCTTATATAATCTAGAAAACTAACCTATAGCTATAGTAACCCTAGATATTTATATTAAGATTCTATTATAAAAGGTTACTTAAAGTAAATAGCTTAATAACTATAGACCTATTTATTTATAACTTTATTTTCTTTATTACTATATATAAGGAATATTAGTTTACTATAGTTACTAATAAGGTAATAATATATCTCTATATAAGGTATAAATCTCTTTTAGCTACTAAGCGTAAGAAGATTATAAAGGCTATATAGGTATACTTTAGTATTATTAAAAGCTAAGGTAGCTTAGTATTACTTTAGCTACTAAAGCTAATATTAAGTCTAATTAAGTATTTTACCCCCCTATAGCGTAATAGGCTTAAGTATATAATATATAGCTATATCTACTAATGTCTTAAGGTAATATAAAGACACTATTATAAATAGTATAGCTAGGTAAATAACTAAAAGAAGAGAGGTAATATAAGGAGGAAAATAGGTAAGCCTAAGAAGGCAGTATAGGTTAATAGGGTTTTATACTAGCGCTTTTTCTTAATATAGGCTAGCTACTACTAGTTCTAGGTAAGCTAGAGAGAGAAGGTAAATAGGGGCATCTATAATAGGCTAATAAAGGCTCTAGTATATAATATTATTATATAGATTTACTAAAAATAGGCTAAATAGGCTAAGGCTTAAGGAGATAATATTATCTATAATATAAATAATAAGCTAGATATAAACTTATAAGTAAAATATATTTAATAGGTAAAACACTTAGAAAAGAGGTCTATAAGTAAGCTTTAGGAAATAACTAAGCTAATTATAGAGAAGAAAGAGGTACTCTAGGCTATATAAACAGTAATAAAGAGGGTCTTACACTAGGTATACACTATCTTAACCTTCTACTAGGTAAAGAATATAGTATTATTTAAGGTGCAGTAAAAGAAGGTATATATTAAGCTAGCTAGGCTATTTAATAACTAGTTAAAAAATTAGATATAGAAGTAATATAAAGGTATTTAGTAGAAGCTACTCTATATATAGAACTATATATAGGAGATAGCTAAAGATAAGTAGCTACTATATTAGCTAATAGTAAAGTAAAGTAAACTATAGGACTACTTTAAAGCTATTATATAGAAGGAGGAAGCACTTAACGTTAAGGAACTAGATAATATACTAATAGAGGTAAAGTAGGCTACACTTAAAATACTTATTAGTATTTTTAACTACCTAATCTAGTAAAGTAACTACTAGAATATCTTAATTAGTATACTTATAGTAATAGGTATTAGTAAAGACAGTAGCTAGGTAAAGGTTAATAACTATATAACTATTTACTTAGCTATTATTAAAGTAAGCTAGATACTTATTATATACTAGTCTACTATTAAAAAGAAAAATACTATAGTAAAGAAGGTAAAAGAGATAAGTAAAGAGGTAGCTAAAGACAAAGTCTATAGTATATTCTAGTATATATATAAAAAGGTATAAAGGTTTATAACCTAGACGTTAAGTACACCTAATACTAAGCTAACGCTAATAGATTAGATCTTAGAGATATATATAATAAGGTTAATAATCTAGTATAGTATACTAATCCTTAGGTTAGTAGACTAGATCTAAGACTAGATATTATTCTAGAGGGCACACTTTAGTATAGGCTAGCTATTAGATATAATATATAGGCTAGTGTAAAAGGCTAAAAAGCTACTTACTAAGCTAATAATAATAGGTAAAAGGCTAAGTAAAAGAGAAAAGCTATAAGAGGCACTACTAGTAATCCTATAGGCGTTTATTAAGGATAACTATAGTAAGTAATAGCTAGGCTACTTATTCTTATAGAATAACTATAATATATAAATATAAAAGGGAGAAAAATAAGTGTTTAGCTAGATTAAAGTGTTACCTAGACTAGTATAATAGTAAGGCGTTAATAATAGTAAGGTAGAAGAGGCTAGGTAAAAGGTCTTTTACTTAGTAGTATAGTAAGTATATAAGTATACTTTTAAGTAGTTCTATAAGCGTCTATAGCTACTTATATATATACTTAGTAGTTAACCTAGGTAGGTAATAAAGCTAGTAAAGATCTAGTATACTAATATAGTTAATAAAAGGGTTTAGAATATACTTATATATAATAGTTCTATATATTTTATAATAGTGTACTATAAAGGCTTTTATAGGATAGGCTAGGCTAAAGTAATTTATTAGTATTTACTATAGGAGGTAGACAAGCTACTAGTATAATATCTCTAGCTAGTGCTACTGTTTTAGTAAAAGGTATAAGGGATAGTATAAAAGACTAGGGGCTATAGTGTATACCTCTAGGCTAGCAAGGTTCTATAGGGGGAGAAAGGATAGTAAAATAAAGAGATAGACTAGCTAGGTAGCCTTAGCCTAGATAATAATAATAATAATAAAGAGGAGGTAGTAGTAGTATAGATATAGAAAAAGGACTAGGTGTAGATAATAGACTAGTTATAGTAGATTATCTAGTAGTATAGTAGCTAGCTACTAGAAAGTAAGCTTAACGTTAGTATATAGTAGTATATTACTATTACTATTACTAACTAGTACTTAAATAAAGTATTTAAATAGCCTAGTGTAAGTAAAGGTAGTCTAGATAAAGACAAAGAGGTAGATAATATTTATAATAGTATATAAGATCTATAGACTAAGTATAGTATAAGAATAGCTAGGCTTATTTACTTATAGTTACTTATATAGTTTAGTAATAGGTTTATAGCTAAGTAATAGTAGTTTTACTAAGTTAACTAGTAGTAGCACTAGTTCTTTAACTTTAGGGTAAAAGACTATAAAGTAAAAGTAAAGTTAAAAGTTAAGGCTAAGTAAAAAGTAAAGCTATATAATAGTATCTAGATAAAGGCCTAGCTCTAGTAGTAGGTATATCTATAGTAGGTCTATTTAAAGGGGTAGCTTTAGTAGATAATAGGCTAACTAGAGGTAATATTCTAAGGGAACTAGGCGTAGGCTATCTAGGTAATTACTAATAAGTAAAGCCTAGTAGTATAGATTATAAGTATAGGTAGTAGTAAAAGTATATTATTTATACTATTAGTGTTCTACTTACTAAAGGAAGTAATAATTATAGTAATACTACTTATATTACTATAGATAAATCTATATATATACTATACTAAGGCTAATATTAGCTTAGTAGTATAGTTAAGCTAGAAAGTATTATAAGTAGCTATTATTATATTTACTATACCTAAGTCTATAGTTAGTAAAAGGTTTTATAACTTTATTTTATAACTATAAGTAAAGTAAGTACTTAACTAGGTTATTATTAATAAGTACTATATAGTACTAAATAAAAGTATAATATTCTAGCTAAAGCTATAGAAGATTAAGGTAGTAGTATATAAGTTTAAGGTATAAATAGTCTACTTAATAGTAATACTTATACTAGGTAATAAGGCTATATTCTTCTATAGTATAAGGTTTAACCTATAGTAGGTAGTTATATTCTAGTCCTAGATAATATAGAAGAATATCTAGTACTTTATTCTTAATATTAAAGGTTACTATAAAAGTAAAAAGGATATAGTTAAAGTTAAAGTTTATAAAGTTATTATTATATAGGTAAAGTAGTTATAGTAAAAAAGAGTAAAAAGAAAAGTAATTATTTATATAGATTTTATTAAGTAAGTAAAGTAGCTAAGTAAGACACTTAGCTACTTAATATTCTTTAGTAGTATTAATTTAGTTAAAGGTAAAGTAGTATAACTAGAGGTATAGTAATAAAGTAGTAAGTTAAAAGGCATTATTATAGTAACTAATACACTTAGGCTAAAGATTAATATACTTAATATTTAGGTAGTAATCTATACTAAGATACTATATATACTATAGTACTTTATTTAGGAGAGTAGTAAGGCTAAGTAGAATAGTTAACTAAGCGCTTTAGTAGTAGTATAGTAGGCTAAAAACAGAGGCTAGTAAAGAGAAGTAGTAGTAAAAGAGTATATAGTAGGCAGTAGGTACTAGTAAATAGTACTAGACTAGGTTATAAATAAAAGGATAAACTAGTTCTACTATAAAGATAATAAAGAGGTATATAATATATACTAGAGGTAGTAGTAAGTAATAGCTAGTAGTAAAGTAATAGTGTCTTTTACTAGTGTCTAGGTAGTAAAGTATAGCTAAGTAAAGTAGTAAAAGTAGTTTAACTACTAGTAGCTTAAGAAAAAGTAAATATAAAAAGGTAAAAAAGTTAATATATTTTTTTAGTAGCTTTACTAAGTGTAAAATAAATATATTCTATACTATAAGGATAAAGAATATAATAATAGTAGTAAGTATATATTCTTAGTATACTTATAAAAGGCATTAGGCTAGTAAGTATAAGTATAGTAAGGTATCTAACTTATATAGGCTAAGATATTTACTAAGTAGCACTTTAAGAGGTTCTTTAGTTACTTCTAATATAGGATACCTTAGTATATATATAAGTATTAGGAGGCTAAGGTAAATAATAGTAGTTAGTTCTTAGCTAGGCTAAAGGCTTACTAGTTTAGTATAGCACTAGTAGCTATATTTATAGGTAGTATATTATAGCTTCCTAAAGTAGTAAGGCAGTAGATAATAGTTAATACTATAGATAAAGAGGAGGTCTTATAAGAGGAAGACCTAGTTAAAGAAGAGAAGGTAGTATACTACTAGCTAAGTAGTAAAGTTAAATAAAGTAAAATTAAGGCTAGTTATCTCTACTATATAATAGCTTTACTATAGAATAAGGTAATAAAGGAGAAGGAATAGGCTTTATAGGCTATATATTATATAAGGTAGAGAAGGTAGTACTATAGAAAGCTAGAGAAAAGAGACAAGGTACTTAAAATAAAGTAGTATATTATCTAGTAAAAGTATAGTATTTATAGTAGTTAGATTTAAAATAGTAGTAAAAAGACTAAGAAAAATAAAAAGTAAAAGAAGGTTAAATATATATAGGTAGGTAAATATTATTATATATATAAAGGTATAATAGTATACTATTAGTATATAGCGTTTATAGTATAGGTAGAGAGCCTAAAGAAGAAGGTTATATAAGGTAGAGGTAAAGTAGGTTAAGGATATATAAGGTTAAAGTTAAGGTTATAGGAGTTAGATTAAGGTTAAAAATAAAGATATAGTAGAAGGCTAAGGTTTAGTAAGTAAATTAGCTATATTACTATATTCTTTACTATTAGTATATATTATTTATATATTATAGCGTTAGTAATAAATAGAACTAAGTTTATTATAATAGTAAGTTAAGTTTATTAAGATACCTAAGTTAGGTTTATTATAATCTTAGCACCTATATTTACCTAGAGTAAGATATATTAGTAGGTAAAACCTAGGACTAAATAAGTTTAAGGTAAAGACTATAAAGATAATAGTTTAGAAAAAAAGATAAACATTTAGTGTTAAGGGGGGTAAAGATATAGTTAGCTATTAAGTAAGTATAGGCCTATAGGCCTATCTAGGCAAAAGGTATAGACTAGCTATTACTAATCTAATAATATAGCTAATAACATAGGAGAATAAAACAGAATAAAAAAAGAAAAAGGAATTAAGTAAGAAGACAAGAGAAAAAGGTATAAAGAGGAGTATAACCTATAAGGTTAGCTATTAATAGCTTAAAAAGATAACTTATAAAGATAAAGCTATTTATTTTTTATTAGCTATATTCTATTATAATTTACACCTAATGCCTATTTACTATTATTACTAATAAAGTAGCTAGCTATTTAAGGGCCTATTACCTATTAATCCCTATTACTAAGTAAGCTAACATTATAGAGATTATCTATAGTATAAAAGGCATTATCTAATCCTAGGCCTAATAGGCTAAATAACGTCTAGCTACTAAAGTAGTATAACAGAGGGGGTAGCTAATAATAGCGCTAATTTTATATATATATATAAAGAGCAAGAGAAGAAGTCTAAGGCTAGTATATATAATAAAGTAGATTAGGGTTAAATAGAGAGTATAAGGAAGAGTATAAAGGAGGCTATATTTAGTAAAAAGAGGATAAAGGATTATAGTAGTTATTTTAAATATAGGTTACTATAGGTGTTATACTAGGGGTAGAAGGCATTAAATAAGGACAATAAGTAGTTTAAGTAAAAAGACATAGGGAGGTATTAATATAAGAGGGTAGTAGTAGAGATATATATAGTAGCTATAATCTAGTTAAAAGAGAAGGTATTAAGAGAGGTAGTAAAGATAATATAGGAGGCAGAGGAGATCTAGGAAAGCGTAAGCAAGGAGGAGGTATACTAGTAGTTTAGGCAAAAGATTATATAGAGAGGGATCTAAGTAAGCAAGTTTTATAAAGTAATAGGCTAGTTATAGTAGTAAGTATTAGGGTGTAGTAAGTAAGCAGTAAGGCAACAGAGGTAGGCTAGTAGATATAGTAAAGGTAGGTAGGCTAAGAGGTAAAAAAGCAGAAGTCTAAGTTTATAGAAAATAGTTAGAGGTAAATAATAATATAGGAGGTATAACCTAGTATTTATATTAAGTTAAAAGTTAAGGTTAAAGTAAAGACAAGCTAGGTTATAGATAAAAAGAGGGTAATTATTATATATAGGTTATAATAAAAGAATATATAAGGTAATATAAAGTAAAATAAGCGTAAAAAACAAGTTTATTAAATAAAGTTTATAGTAATATCTTAATTATATTTATAAGTATATATCTAAATATTAATAAATATATAGGGATATAGGTATATATATATATATATATAAAAGTAAATAAAAATAGTATATTAATATACTATATAGGGTAAAAAGTAAGTAAAATAGATTAGAAGTTAAAAAAAAAGAATATATATTAAGGTAGTAGAGAGGTATAAGGTAAAGTAATAGGTATAGTAAGAAAAGATAAAGCAAGAGTATATATCTAGGAGAAGATAAAGACAAGGACAAGAAGATTAAAGTAGGACAAAAGTAAGAAAATAAAGAAAGGGGGGGAGGATAAGAATAACAAAGAATAGAAAGAAGATATATAGGTAGAGAGACAGGAATTAGAAAAGTAGCTAAGAGAAGGAATAGGTAGAAGGAAGAGAAAAGTAAGAGAGGATATAGGTATAAGGCAAGGTTAAAGGGGAGAAATAGGAGGAGGAGGGTTAGGGTTAGAGAGGGAGAAAAGGGTTAAGGTTAAAAAGATAAAGTAAGATTAGGGACTAAACAGCAAGTGTTAATATAGTTATAGTAATATTTAAAGAAATAAGTAAATTTAAGGCAAAGGTTAATATAGATATTATAAGAATATGATAGATATAAAAGAGAGTAAATAAGGTAAAAGATAAAAGTATAGGTATAAGTATAGGGGAAACAATATAAAGGAGTATTAATATAGTGTATTTAGCAAGGAGTAGGCAAAGATATAATTAGGAAGAGTAAAAAGGATATATAGTGTTAATAGAGGTTTTAAGGAATAGGTATAGTTAAGAAAGGTTATTATTTTTATATATAGGTTATAATAATAAAATATATATAGTAGTATAAAGTAAAACAAAGATAAAGATTAAGTTAGTTAGATAAAGTTTATAGTAATATTTTATCTATATTTATAAGTATATATCTATATATTAATAGATATATAGGAATATAGGCGTATATAGATATATAAAAGTAGACAAGAATAGTATATTAAGATATTATATAGGGTAAAAAGCAAGTAAAAAAGATTATAAGTAAGAGGAAAAAGATATATAGTTAGTTAGTAGTTAGGTAATAGGTATAGAAAGGAAGAGTAACACAAAGGTAAAGATAAGGACAAGAAAGCAAGAAGGGAGAAAGATAATAAAGAAAGAAAAAAGGTAAAAGAAGAAAGAAAAATATAGAGAAAATATATAGGTTAAGAGACAAGAAAGAAAAAGAAGAAAAGAAGAAGAAAGAGTATAGAGAAAATATATAAGTTAAGAGACAAGAAAGGAAAAGAGTAAAAGAAGAAGAAAAAGTAAAGAGAAGATATATAGGTCAAGAGAAAAGAAAGAGAAAAGGGGTTAAGAAAACAAATAGGCACAAGGTAGCGTTATAGGGAAAAAAAAGGCTAAAGTTAAAGAAAAAGAAAAGGGTTAAAGTTAAAGTATAAGAGCAAGGTTAAGGTTAAAAAAAAAGAAGGTTAAGGTTAAAAAGAAAAAAAAGGTTAAGGTTAAAAAGAGAGAAAATAGTTAAAGTTAAAAAAGAAAAGCAAGATTAAGAAGTAAAAGGCTAGTTTTAATTTAGTTATAGTAGTATATATTTATAGAGACAAGTGTATATAAAGCAAAGGTTAATATAGAGATTAAGGGAATAGGATAAATATAAAAACAAAAGATAAAGTAAAGGACTAGATAATAAGTAGATATATAAAGGAAATTAAAGAAAAGATTATTAATATAGGGTATTTAGTAATAAGAAGGTAAAAGAAATAAATAGTAAAGGCAACAAGGTTATATATAGTTAGTATAAGTTTTAAGGAATAGATATAGTAAAGAAAAGTAAAGTAAAAGAGGCTAGTAGGTAGATATAGGGAGGATAAAAAAAAATAAAGAGAGAACAGAGGTATAAAAGAATAAAGAGAAGAGGGGATAAAAAGGTATAAATAGAAAGAGAGGTAAAGGAGACAAAAGGGGTAAATATAATAAAAGAGTAAAAGGTTAAGGTTAGACAGAAGTAAAAAAGTTAAGGTTAAAGAGAGAGAAAAAAGTAAAAGTAAAAAAGAAAGAGGTAATATATAAAGTAAGTAATATAAAGTAAAAAAAGTTAAAAGAATAAGTTTATTAGATAAAGTAAGTAAGTATATAATATTTATATATATATATATATATTTATTAGTGTAAATAAATAGGTAAAAATAGATAATAGAATATATATATACAAAGGTAAAAAGAAAAAGTATAGTAGTATATAATATAGGGTAATAAACAAGAAAGAAGTATTATAAGTAGAGAGAAAAACAAAATAGATTAGGTTAGTAAAGGAGTTTAAGGTTAAGGCAATAGGTATAGTAAAGAAAGGTAGGGCAGAAGTATAAGGTAAAGAGAAGATAAAGATAAAAATAAAAAGAGAAAAAAAAAAGAAAAAGAGAAGCAAAAAAGAAGAAGGAGAATATAGAAGAGATATATAGGTGTAAAGACAAGAAAAAGAAAAGGGAGTAAAAAAACAGATAGGCAGAAGGACAAAAAAAGACAAGAGAGGGCATAGGTATAAGGCTAAGTTATAGAGAAGAGAAAGAGCAAGGTAGTAGAAAAGAAGAATAAGATAAGAGAGTAAAGATAGTTAAAAGGGCAGTAAGATATAGAGTAATAGATAAAAAGTAAGGCAAAGTTATAAGGACAAGAAAGCAAAAGAGGGTAAAGAACAGTAGTAAAGGTTAAAGAAAGTAAGCAAGGTTAAGGTTAAAAAGAAAGAAAAAAGGTTAAGATAAAAGTAAAAGCAAAGGGTTAAAGTTAAAAAGGAAAAAAAAAGTTAAGGTTAAAGAGAAAGAAAAAGGTTAAAGTAAAAGAGAAAGAACAAGGTTAAGGTTAAAAAGTAAGTAAAAGGCTAAGGTTAAAAAGAAAGAAAAAGGCAAAGGTTAAAGAGAAGAGAAAAGACTAAGGTTTAAGAGAAAAAGTAAGATTATAAAGTAATAGGTAGGGTTAAAGACTAGGTTAATAAGAAATATTAATAAAGATAAGTAAAGAAATAGTAGGTTTAAAAATAAAGATTTAAGGAAAAGGATAAATATAAGAGATAGTAGATAAAGTAAAAAATAGGATAGTAGATAAAAGAGGTTCTATAAGAATAGAAGGTTATAGTGTAAATAATTTTAAGAAAAGTTAGTAAAAGCAGTAGAGAGAGAAAGTAGAGAGAAGAGAGATAGTAAAAAGTGTTAAAAAAGAGGTAAAGGTAAAGTAAATAAAAATATAGAGGGTTTAAGTAAAAAGAAATAGAGGAATTAGTAAAGAAGAAGTAAAAGGTTAAAAGAAGTCTAGTATATATAGTTAGTGCGCCTACCTACTTAACCTACTTAACCTACCCCTTTTACCCTACTAGTGCCTAACGCCTAACGCCTAACGCCTAACCTATTAACTTATTAACCTACTAGCCTAAGTGCTAGCGCCTAAGGCCTAGCCTATATTAATCTTTATAGCTATAGTAGTGTATACTACTATAGCTATAAAGGTCTAGTTAGTGTTACTATATTATAACTATTATAGCTATAAGGATTAAGGTAGTAGCGTTATAATCCCTATAGCTATAAAGGTCTAGTTAGTAGTAGTGTTATAATCCCTATAGCTATAAAGGTCTAGTTAGTAGTAGTATTATAATCTCTATAGCTATAAAGGTCTAGTTAGTAGTAGTATTATAATCCTTATAGCTACAAAGGTCTAGTTAGTAGTAGTATAATCTCTATAGCTATAAAGGTCTAGTTAGTAGTAGTATTATAATCCTTATAGCTATAAAGGTCTAGTTAGTAGTATTATAATCTCTATAGCTATAAAGGTCTAGTTAGTAGTATTATAATCCCTATAGCTATAAAGGTCTAGTTAGTAGTAATATAATCCC